TGGCTGTGGAAGGGACACCTGCTGGAGCAGTTCATGAAGAACTACAGTTCATGAGAAGGGCTCACATTGGACAAATTCATGGAGAAATGTCTCCTATGGGAAGGACCTCCTTCCATAAGCAGGGAAAAAGTGTGAAGAATCCTCCCCCTGAGGAGGAAGGAGCAGCAGAGACAAAGTGTGATGATCTGACCACAACCCCCATTCCCTGTCTCCTTGCACCACTGGGGTGGGAGGAGGTAGGGAATTCAGGAGTTAAACTGAGCCCAGGAAGAAGGGAGGGATGGGGGAAGGTGTTTTAAGATTTGGCTTTATTTCTTATCATTGTACTGTGATTTGACTGGTAATAAATTACACTAATTTCACCAAGTCAAGGCTGTATTGCCTGTAATAGTAATCAGTAATCTTTCTCTATCCTTATTGTGATCTGATTTTGGTGTATTTTATGTCTCCTGTTCATTTGAGGAGGGGAGTGACGGAGTGGCTTTGGTGAGCACCTGGTGTCCAGACAGGATCAACCCACCACAACTGAAAATCAAAGATTCAGCACTTACAGTGCCACTGATCTGATAGCTGGTCTACAGACAAAAGTCTTGGTTTAGATTAAACCATTAAAATGGAAATAGTGATACTAATTTCCATTGCAGAAGCACATAGAGGTCTAAGAGAACACATAAAGCCATTGTACCATTGCTATTGTCCCTCCAGTACAATGCCAATTTGATTCCAGAGGACAACCTCTAAACATTCACCTTTCAGTTCTCACCCTTTATCCCATCAGACAACTAACCTGAGTGTACATCACAGCAGTGGTCACATATGCCATTTTCATATCCAAATCAAAATTTACCATGGCATAGACCAGACTGACAAACACATTTCTCTCTCTGCAGAATGACACTTTCCTTTGAGCCCCTCATCCATGAGCTGAAACATTAGTAAAAAAACCTGAAACACATCTGATCACAAGAGGCTCATAGACCAAGGGTGCCAGCTTGTGCCAGCCCTGGAGGCCTAGCTAGCTTTTACTTAGATATACACACATCCTGGGCCTGTATCAAACTGCAGTGATATTAGTAACTGTACTAGAAGTTACAGGCTGTGGTTCTGTGCAAAAGCAGATAAGAGGAACCAATCTGGCCTTTAAAATTACAATTTTTCCTTTTTGTATGTGTGTATGCTGGACATTCCATTATCATGGATGATTTCACCTCCATCATGGAGTTTTAACATTCAGCCAACTCCTTAATTCTAATTCAAGCACCAAGACCTGGAAACTAATTCTAAATTAAATCAAGTAGTTTAAGGTTCATTTCCTCAAACCTATTAGACAGCTGGATACATTTATTAAACTGGACCTGTGTTAATCCAAGCAAATTAGCCTTTGGGTATACTGCAAAAATCAGTGCAGTAGAAATTCAGTCCAAGGGTTCCAGCAGGGTGGGGAGAGCAGCAGAAGAGCCTCAGCCAGATCACTGGAGTCTAAGACAACACTCGCCTGTGCAGCAGCACAGAGTACCTTAGTGAGACTGCACAGTGACACAAGACATATCCCAGGCTCTTCCTGGGATGGCTATGGACTGAACAGAGAAAGAAGTTGCAATCCCTCAGCATGGAACTAGAATATATCATCTAACAATACCAGCTGCCACACACAATGCTACACACCTCATTCTTTAATTCACACACAGATCAGTGCCTCCATCTTCCACCTCTACTCAGAACACCACAGTTAGCTCATGAGTGGGCACAGAGAAGGATCTGACATGTACATTAAACATCCCAGAATAAATTTTGATGTGATGCAGACTTGTCCTGAACAAAAGGTCGCTGATGCTGTTGTCTCTATATCCTTTGCCATATTTCCATCGGAGTTGAAATGCATTTCATGAGATAGCTGGAGATCATGTTTTGCAAAGAATGAAAGGCTCACTGGTTCCTAGATTTGGCCACAGGTAAGTAGCACTATGTTTACTATTCCATATTTTAGCAATGAGCACAATCACTCCAAGGTATCAGAGGATGAGCTAGCTACTCCATGTGCAGCTATGTCCAAAGCATCCATCCCAAACACCTGTAGCTGCCTGTATTCTGTTGCCTATGGGTGTGAAATTTAAGCTAGAAGATAAAACAGGTCATATTTGCAACACAGATGCAAGTACTCCGAGAACTGCATAGAAATCTTTAGCAAACACCTCTGTTTTGCTCTACATTTTCTTGACTACTTTCTACTTTAAAAAATCTTTTTAAAGGCCTTATTCATAATCAAATTCTATACAAAGGACAAAAACAATGGCAGGAAAACTCTGATACCTAGGTGCACTGGAGAGGTTAAGCAGATGATCAAGTTACCAGTACCTAACCTGACTCAGATGTACTTTAAGCACTGTCAGTGTGTGAGCACTGAGCCAAAACTATCTGAACTGCAATGGCATTTTGCATCCCTCTATTTCAGTGCAGTACAAACTATGTGGAATTACCTGGTACTTGTCATGGACTAAATGTGTATATATGGGTAGTTGCCATAGCTCAGTTAGGGCACAGCAACTTGCCAAGTTACCGTATGTGGATTTTGTTCCCGAGTTCTTCCAGTGCCTCAATTATGCATCCACAAAAATAAGGGAGTTCTTACAGTAAGCTTCCTAACTTGATGTAAAATCCCAGTAGCCACAGCATTTACTGCATTTATTTTCCCTCTCTTGCCACTGTTGGTAGCTAGGGTAAGAGGTTAAAACATAAGCAGCTTTGTCAAAGAGAAAACAGAATACTTGTGTGCCTGCTACTCAAGTTCTGTATTTCATGTAATATCCCCTTTTCTTCTTGCTGTGATCTCACCTCACTGCACACCTTCAATTGCAAATGTAGACAATGATGTGACTTAAACTACTTTAGTAAATAACAGCAGATACTACACTGCAAAATTATCAGCTGTACATTTCACAACTGTAAGAATGGAGAATAGTGCCTGTCTTGCTCCTAAAGCCTACAATAAAAACTGCAGCAAATAAGCAATTCTCTCTCCATTTGAAAGCATGGCATCAACTTGTAGTTTCACCTACGTTGACTATTGATAAAAATGGTCTTTATATTAAATTTGTCCCCATCATTTGAAAATTCACTACAAAGAAGTCTCATCTCCCTCTCCAATATCTTCAAGACTGTGAACAATAATCATGGATGGACACAAACGGTTCATTCAAGCTAGACTATTCTGGCTCGAAATTCTAGATACAACTGCTTATTTGAACCCCAACAGTTTTAAAGTGTTGTGTTGGAATCCAGCATTATGTACTGCATACTGGTACATAATGGAAACCCCCATTGTTATTTGAACACCAGCAGTTTTAAAACACTGTGTTGAAAGCCAGTATTATCCCATATATAGTGGTAAACAGTTCAGTTAAGTTGCAAGTGAACACTGGTAATAACAGTGGACTTCCGAGCTCAGTAGGGCTGATAACAACCAGATGTAAAAAAGCAGTGACTCCTAAACACAAGACAGGAGGAAATAAATTCACAAAGACTGAAGTGCAGATAATACAACCCTTATAGACAAGGAAAAAAACCACAAAACGAACAAAGGAAACAAGTTTTTATTTGGGCTGAGAGAGTTCCCTGTCTGGTGTGAAAAGTTTAGGCAAAGAGTGTCTGTACCTTGGTGCTGTTGCCAAACCACCAGAAGTAGGTAAGTGTGCCTGCCTGGCTGGGCCAAACTACTGCAGTAATGTTGACATCCTTATTTCTGATGGCCACAAAAGGGACACTCAGATGGACGTGCTCCACTGGACCTGTGGGAAGAGAGAGCTCATTATTAGAGACATTGAGCTAAATTCTCCCTGCACAGTCATGAACAGCAAGGATCTTTCCTTTAAATAAATCAAATGTCCTATGTCAGCAGTGAGACTGTAGTTTAGCAATAAAAGATTTTCAGCAGTCAATAATCAACAGAAAAAGACATCAGATTAATAAGCAAAAAGTCATAGTTTTTTTACCCTCTTAATTCTGGGGGAGCCAGCAATTTCAGACAGGGTCATCACTGCGTTTAGAAGAATTTTTTTAAGTGCATTTTGCAGAGTAACAATGAACAGGCTTTGCACTAGATAGGGAAGCTACTACTGAAAGCTAGAGAGACAGGACACAGGAGAGGAAGAAGGTGTTTTCTTGAAAACACAGCCACTGAGCTACTAAGATTTGTGGGGAAATCATTTTAACCAAGATCTGGTTATATAAGAGGCATTTATGACTTGAATAAATACCTCTGGTAGTTTTTTAAAAGGTCTCCAAAACAAATACTCATGATTTTTGGAACTCCTTAGTATATTTTTGACTTTGGCCTGACCTTGGGAAGTCTTTGGGGAAGTCAGTTACCACTAGTAAAAAGTCAGGAACTATTTGAAAGATGTGTGCATTGGCAAATCAAAGAATTTAACTGTCAGAAGCACTTGTTTCTGAAAGACTTATAAAATAACAAAGTACCAATGCGAAGTTGTAACTAATAAATGCAAATGCCAGAATGAGTCCAGTGCATGATGTTCAGAATTAAGAGAGTTTCTCTCTAGAACAAAACAATGTGTAAAATATACTGAGGCTTTTGGGGTTTTTTTTGCTAGTTTGTTGAAAACTCTTACTATCTCCATTGTTTTCCTTCTTGTTTAATCTTTTGTTTTCACTGGTACTGAATTTCAGCTGATAACTGCTGCCCATCAGATAGTGTTAGTTTCTGGGTAGTACCTTTAAAACACAGCAAACTGACAGACTATCTCTGTGAGAGGGAAAGGATGAAATAAGAAAGAAGCCAGATTCTTCTTTTTTTCTTAGTAAGACATTCATTCTGGGAAACAGGAAATTTGGTGATTGAACTGAGACAATCTTCTTGTGTTACCTCTCAGCTCTTCAAGCACAAAATGGGGACATTAATCACTCCTCCACCTACTTGGATTAAAAAGATTTTGGAGAGCAAGAGCTGTTCTTTTACAAATGGAACATACAGTTCCAAGCACAATGGGATGCTATTCTTGCTTTTGGTTCCTTGAAACCAGATCATTTTCTTTGCCCTTTTCCCAAAAGGTCTCTACCAGCAAGTCACTCCTGAACTCTGACCATAGAAATTACTCTAGGCTTGCAAGAATAGCAGGTTCTCCCAAATATTTTGTGACAGTGCATGTAAGAAGAAAATCACTGATATGTTTGCTTCCTTTAAATGTCAAGATAAGAAGCTTGACAGCAGATTTCAGAAAGCTGGAAAGTTGACTGCCTGGTAATAAAACTGCAGGACAGAAAAAACCCTACTGTTGCTTGAGGCTGCTGAGCTTTTTTTTCTAGCACAGGATTCCAGTACCAGACAGATCATATAAAAAGAATGATTAGCAGGCATTTTTGTCTGTACATTTGAGCTTCAAGGTCAAACCTCCTATATTGACTAGTATATCAAAATGTATTAAAAGTCTAGTACCGAGTTATCATCTTATTTCAGCATTAGCATGAATGAAAGTGCTTGCAAAATATTTCCCTAGAGATAATGCTAATAAGTTGGCCACCTAAGAACACTATAAAAGTCGAAGGAGAGATCTGAGAGGCGGATGAAGAAAAGGATGGAGTAACACAATCAGGCCAAGGAACTGCTCCTTGTTGCACTTTGCTTTAAAATCCTCACCATGAAAAAGCAGTTCCTATGAGAAAAATCAGAAAATCCATACAAATCTGGTTGTTATTACCAGGTAACCATCACTTTTGTCAACTAATGGCCCAAGGTGAAGGAAAAAGCAGTTAATGCTCTAATAACAGGTTGTTAAGTGCAGTCATGATTGACTTTGAGGGAATTATGAGCATAATAAAAGCTTCAAGGAACATTTATTCCTTCACACAGGGAGCTTGAAATTAAAAAGGAGAAAAAAGCTCTGGAGTTTTGGAAATTTCTGATGTGCTTCCTTCCAGCAGAAAAGCTCACATAAAAGGCAGACAGGGTAGAAGACATTCTGACAGTTTAAGAGGGAAGACAGACATGTCTGTGAACATCATTATGTTCAAAACTGGTGGGGTACATCTGAACACAGATGGAGCTCTCTGCCCAGAAGATCTAGTAGTCTGAGAGTAAGACAAAGACCTGGGCTCTTCGTGGTCTCATCCTGCATTCCACACCCTCTGCTCTCTCCTGTGACTTTGAGAAGTCAGCTGGGAGCTCTTTGAGTTTTCTTATGGGTTGACTGGAGGAAAATTGCATTGATCTACCAAACAGGATGGAAACGTCAGGGACTGAATGTCAAACACATGAAATATGAAAAGCAGCACATTAGTACTCAGTACATTCACATCCCAGGAAGTATGCTCAGCATAATGCTTTTATTTCATTTAATAAGCACTGTAGATTCCAAAATCCTGAATAAGTGACTCAAAATTTAGTAGTCTAACCCCTTGGAATTAGACACATATTGAAAATACACACTTGAACTTTGTTCCATATGCTGCTTCATCTCTGACCCTTTCAGAAAGCCCAAGAAACATTTCCAGACTTTTCTCTCTGTCTGTGAGGACTGCAAATATGCTTGTTTTAAAAGAATCTTCCCTTTCTCTTCGTTCAAAAAAGTTTACTTAACAAGTTAGAAGAGTGTCTAACAGTCTGAACCTTTTGAAGAGTGAGAGCTGCATGTGTATGTAGGTTTGCATGTGTTCTGAGGCCTCACTGAAGTTGCAGGGATTTTCAGTGGTCAGATTTTCACCCAAGGAATCTAGAAGGTGTAAGTACTTACAGACCACATGCAGGAAGAGGACAGCAGTGTCAGAGCCCAGGCTGTTCTCTGCATATGCTGTAACCTGGAAGATTCCAGCACTCTTATACACATGCCGGATGCCATCCTCAACAGGGCTGAAATTAGCATAGGATACTGCAATGCCATCTCCAAAATCAAGTTGAATGTTTGTCCTTTGGAGATCACCCTGAAACAGAGAAGGATTGATTAGGAAACTGGGCTGATAAGGGGGATTTATATTACCCTCCATCCCACTTCTCAGTTCCATTTCATTGGCATGGACACTTTTGAAACTTTTCCAAAAAAGCCTAGCTTTGTTCTGTCATTCCCCAAAGTGGCCAGACTCAAATCTACAACCAGTAGTTACAAACAAGCAATGTTTAGAATAGTTGATCATTTACACCTATAAAAAGATGTTATTTCCCATCTTGGGTTTAGAGATTTTGGGAGGGCAGAGTGCATATATCAAGGGGACCATATTTAAATCATCAAATACAAGGCATGGTAGGGGCTTACGTGCCACTGGAGTGGCCAGGGATTTGCAAAGTCTTTCGTTGAATGGGTGGTGGCCAACAAGTAGCTCCATCAGAAGCAGTGAGATGAGTGGTACCATACTGATGGTAGGCTAGATGTCAATGGGAGAGCAATTCCCACATGAGCATGGGAGCATTGGGAACATTCTGGAGACAGGACAATGGTTTAATTGGCTCTCCCATATGTTCCCAAAACACAGAAGCTAGTCACTGAGTCTAGCCTAGGCTAGTTTTCAGGTTTCATAGTCAGTGAAAGAGAAAGAAAAGACAGCAACAGACCAACAGCCCATCCTAAGATAACTGAGACAAGTGACATGAATCATCTCCTGCAAATATCCATCCCTGTACCCTGATGATAGAGAGTTTAGAAGACTAGTTTCAGCTAGACACCTCATTTCAGGATGGCTGAATTTATATAGGTTGAGTCCCACACTGAGGACTGACAGATTTTTTTTGTCTTATGTCAGTCAACACAGAGATAGGGCTTGGATACACAGGAGAATGAAGTAGATGATGAGAAAATCTCTTCTAGGATTACTGACAATGACAGTTATTAAATGAAGGAGGGAACAACAGACAAGAGATTCCAGCAGTGCAGGTATTGTCTAGAGGCAGCAGTTGCACTGTTTTAATTTAAATCATGCTTTAAACTGCTGTAGTTGAACTGCAGAAGTGTCTGTTATTTCAGTTTCTTGGAGTCTTACTTTATACTTGCCCCCAGCTGACTAATGGTAACACTAAACAGGGCTAATTTAAACAGACCTAAAGCCCACTGCAGTGATTTCACTAAACTGAAATAAAACTAGAACTCATATTAAATCTCTGTAGCTTTAGCTTTCTGCATATATATGTGATGCATTGTCCCAAGTAATTTTCTTTCATGAAAGATCTCAACTGTATTCACTATGGATCAAGACGATACCACTACCTTTTGGAGATGTTCTAGCCCCAAACTGACATCAATCCATAGATATATTGAGGATGAAATTTGAAAGTTTAAAATAAATTTTTGAAAAATCCCTGCTCCTAAATTTACCTTTCTTATAATAGGAAATTCAGAAATATTTCACAACCATCTCATAAACCCTCTTATAGCTGTATATGCACAGGGTCAGGATCACAGCTGACGTGCAGTTCCAGTACATACTGACGTAAGGGAGGGAAGCAACTGTGTAACTCATAGCCAGTTCTGATGTACCTCTGATCCCTCCACAGCCAGCTCAAATCCTGCAGGGTACTACATCCAGCAGGCTCACTGAAAAAGACCACTGAACTCACAGATTTCACTAAGGCCCCTGGGCCATGTATTGCACAAACTAAACCCTGACTTCCTAGAAAAACTGTGCAGATTAAAAGGAAAAGATTGCTTGGGACAACCACACCTGTGACAGTCTCTAAAGTTTTAATGCTGACAGCACCAGCTTTCCTCTGAGTAGTAGTTTTCAAGTTTACCTGCACATGGCAAAACATGTGGCTTGCAGCTTAAATTCTGACTACGAACCTCACATCCATCAGTGATTTTTCGTACAGTCTGAACACGTTCATACATAACACAGATCCAGTTTGGAACATGACTTCTGACCACACTGGGACTTGGAAAAAGAGTTCGTTAAATCAGGATTAAATAGCTATTGGGCTGTTCTAACCCACATAATCAGCTGCTGAGACCAAAGGTGCACAACAAAGGCTCACGTGGAGATAGCAACATCCATTACAGCCAAGAGGTCTCACTTTTTGCCTTTCACTGACTCCAGACTCATGGGAGCTGCCATCTTATTGGTAATTGCCATCAGCCTGTATAAGTGGCAATTGTGGAACTGATACAAGCAGCTACTGTGCTCTGCTACTTGTTCCTGTTCTGAAACTGCACATGACCTTGCTTTTTGGATGGAAACCAGGGATCACATACAAGAAGCCAAACCATGGTGATGCAGGTCCCCTGTGTAGATAATCAGGGTCACAGCAGCCCCTCTGACTTTCTCCTCTTCATAGGCTATGTCTGCACTAACAAATCATTGTGCAGGAAGGGTATTTTTCAGATGTGATTATGCCTTGACTATGACTTGGGGTCTTCAGATACACACCCATATAATCAGGATTATTGCATGTAGTTTTTGAAATATGGATATTTGATTATATATGTTATATCTCTCTCCATCCTGGCTCCATCATTCCCATTCCACAGGAGCAAGGGGAGTTTTGGCTATTGACTTGATCAGGGAAACATTTTGACCTCTGCCCTACTAGGGAAGTAAAAATCCAGTATAAACCAAAAAGAAAACATAGAGGACTAGAGCAGTAGTGACACTAAAACCTATCTATAATGTTAAGTAGTCAATAACATCCTTTAAACAGAGAGTTTTTTAAGTCACTCTAAAGAATTCTCTAGCAGGAGGAAAATTACACTCTTGGGATATTCAGTTATTTGATAGAAAGGCTCCCACAGCTTGTTAAACCTTTCAAAAACACTTCTCAAGGGAATGTACTAAGACCACAAGTTCATTTCATATGGAAGACACCGAATAGAGGATAAAAATTTGATCTGGGCTGGATTCATCACTGGTGACCTCAGGCTAAAATCTCTTGCACCAATCATGACAGCTTATCTCCCTTGCCTTACAATTCTCTTTTCTATTTCCTCCTTGCTTCTCCAATATGATTCTATCTGAAATGAGAAGGTCTGAAGTAGAGAAGCAGGAACAGATTTTTTGTGACTTAACAGTAGCAGATGATCTTTCCACCCAATTATGAGATGGGTCTTCAATGCAAAGCCTGCCCAACACACTAATCATGTTTTCTTTCTCCTTTCTATACCTCTTTATCCATTATATAAAATATTAAAACAGGCATGGTAGGCCCACACAATGATGTCAGATATGCTGGAGTTTATGAATATAAATTAAAACAGAAATGAAGTGGAGGTATTTCAAAATGAAAAAATCATTGCTTTCCATATATATTCAAAAGGCACATTTTATTGCTTTAAGCCCCATAAACTACTGAAAGGGAATAATCTGGGGGCTGTCGCAAAGATTGGAGCTCTGTGTACTGAAATCAGTGAGCAGACAAAGGGTAGTGGAATGGTGGAGAGGAGTATTGCCATGGAACAGCCCTTCAAAGTCATCTCATCATCAAGGCCAGCCTGGAAAAGTTTTCTTGTCTGGAAGCCATTCTAGCAAAGTGACAAAAAAACCTGCAGAGTCAGAACAGGCAAGAGTTGTAGAGGCAGGTTGAAATTTTTGCTTTCTGAAGTTAAGAGCCAAACTGCCACTAATTTCAGGAGGGCTTTATTTCACCTGACATATGCTTCGGGGAAGAGACGAATGGAGTGTATATATATATGATTTTTGTTCTTTTCTAATGAAGTTCACAAATTGTTTACATAAAACTATGGCATAGTTTAGATTAGGTGGGCCCAGGTAGCCAAGAAGGCCAATATCTTGGCCTGTATCAAGAATAGTGTGGCCAACAGGACTAGGGAAGTGATCATTCCCCTGTACCTGACACTGGTGAAGCCACACCTGAAATACTGTGTTCAGAAAAACCATCAGTCATTCTGCATTTCTTTGGCAGCAGTCATTGCCACACATGTATTCTGAATACCACTGTGAGCAATACTACTAAAGCTAATTCTGTAAATCCTGAGGAATTAACTTTTTTATTAACTATGATAAAGTCTTCATTTACCATTGACAGCACAAAAGTCAGTCACATAAATACATTGAACAGGTGTACTAGAAAGTGGGGAAAAACTCATGGATCATCAGGGTTAGTCTGAAAGAACTGGAAGGCTGAATGGAGACCACACCAGAGGAGGGCTAGTCAGGCTGCTGTTTGGCTCAGAAAGTAAGTGTAAACACAGGTACAAAACAACCCACCAGCAAACAGAATGACCAGAGGAGGTGGAGGAAGTCAAGAATGAATCTGTATGACATCAAGGTAGGTAATAATTAAGACTTCTACAGAAATTATATCTTCCAGCTAGCAATCAATTCTTTGATGACAATACTTCTCAAGTGCACACTACAAGACTGGAATACCTTTGTCCAAAATCTCAGTGTTCTTTTTCTTTTTCTTGAAATGTCTATTCTTTTAAGAAACAAACTCAATACACAATTCTCTGTGGAATAAGCTGTTCACCCACGAAGACATGTTCTTGAAAAACCGCTTCCCTTAGAAAGAAAATTGCTTCAATGAAATGTTTTTCTAACTATCATTATTTTTTGGCAAAGGACACAGAGTGGATGCCCTCACATATTTATTCAGCTGCCTCTTCAATCTCTTAAGCCTTGTAAAGCCTCCACACTTCAGCTACATTGACTGCTGCCTTTTTCCCCATCTGTTTATCATTCTTTGTATGCAGCAGTTCCGCTTGAGTTCCTTAATAAATTACTACTAGATTCCTAATTTTTAGATTATATCTGTTCTTTTCTGAACTCCCACTCATAGTGTCTACACAAATCGTCTTACCATGTCAAGTCTGTAGAATATAAAAGAATCAGCCAAGTAGACAAGAAATCCCCTTTGTACAAAAGCAGCGCATGCATGAAACTCTGAGGAAATACGTAAAGAGGCCCTGTCAGATTAGTTTGGTCCCAATGAAATACTTAGTTACTGTATAAGAATTTAATCTAGTGTGTATGTCTGTCTTTCCATCTGTCTCTGGGTGGTCTACCTCCCAGCTATCTCCAGGTACTTTCCCAAAATGACATACACAGGACAGAGTAGATGACAAAACATACTTGTGGTTCTCCAACATCACCTCAGTCCCTGGCTCCCCCTCCTGAGACACCCAAAGATGAGAGAAGTGAGGTTGTGAGTTTAGCCAGAGAACAGATGTAACGTAATTCATTGTGGTAAAATAATTTTTGGACCTCCAACAACACCTTCCACGGGTAGTCAGAAACCATCAGAGAGTGCAGCAGCTGCAAACACTGTAGAAAGTTTTGTGCTGCAGTCACATGTAACTCTAAACACCAAATCAGATCATAGAGCAGAAGAGGCACAAGATCATTTGAAAAAGCCTCCTGTCTGTCTGAATACATACTAAGCACCTGCCTTAGCTCTCTAACCCTCCATTGAGCCACAAGTCTTGGCGACACAGGCTGCACCATATGTGTTTGCCAAACAGAAGTCTACCTAACTCAGAGAGATCACCAGATGTGCCTCAACATTTTGATGCTCACTGCTCCCTGTGAGCCCAAAAATGTTCCTCACAGTTCTCAACCTTTCCCAACAAAGCTTCAGCTAAAGCTTTTCATCCCAGAAACAGACTAATTAAGCACAGAGACACCATTTCTGCCTCACAAACTCCATAAACTGCAGTTCACTGGAGATGGCAAGATGCTAGTGGGGAAATAAATTTTTGACCAGATCTATCTTTCTTCAGCATTGACTTCATCATCACTGCTAGACAAGATAACCCGTCAAACACTCCTTTGGTGTGACCCAATATGATTTGCTTATGCATTTCAACTACAGCCCTTTGTTATTAATTCTCATAAATCTCAGGACTATTCACCGTTTCCTGATCTCACTTGATTGCTATTTTCCTCTCAGGAACTTGACAAATGAAGGAAAAGTATGCCAGTCCTGCCACACAGAAAGGTTTGCTGAGCCCACCAACACACCTCTTCCATGAGGATGATGAAGGTGGCATTGTGTCCCTGCTCCATGACCAGCTTTCCATCGGTAGTGAGGATGTGCAGTCCCCGAGGTGCTTTTCCAGGACATTTCTCCATCTTGGCCGTGTACTTCTCTCTCAAGCCATCTGTGCAGTTGTTAGACACAATCCTACGGTACCTGGGGAACAGTAACAAAAAAAAAGACTGGGCTCAGATGGTGGGTGGAAAAGTTCCTTTGTTTTGTTTTTGTTTTGTTTCTCTAAATTAATGTATGTGTTTTTTCAAAGGCTAACTTCCTGCATGACTCCTTCATTGAAAGGAAGAATCAAAGAATCAAAGAAACCTGACGCTTTATTAAATGGGAGAAAGCCAACCCAACCATCAACCACAGCCAAGCCAACATTCTCCAGAGATTCTCAGCAGCATCACTGAGAAGAGACACATTGTGGAAGTGAATTACTTTACCTTGATAAAAGGCAGAGAACTCCTCCAAATCCCCATGCCTGCAGGATTGCACTCTGCATCCCAGCTTCTTAATTATGCTTTTTATTACATTTTTGTCTGCCTCTATTGTGCTAGAAGGCACTTGAAATGACCTGCAAAGGGCTTCATCCAGTTCAATTTTAAAATCATTCAAGGAATGGGTTTTTCTCTTGGCTTTTCTTGGAAGAGGTTAGCTAAGGAGCAAGACACTTGGCTATTCCCAGTGTTGTTGAGGGGGATTAACCCTTTCTATTAATTTCACAGTAAAAATACAGGATTGGTTAAGGAACTAGAAACCCCAAATATTTTCTGGTTGCTCCCTGTCAAGAAGGCTACAAGCAGCCATACTGGCCAGGGCTCCTGTAATTACATCCCATGTTTAAAGCAACCATTCGGCAGAAACGGTGTCTCCGAAGTGAAGTGACTCCAGACTCCTAGCAGACTCCCTTCATTAAGCCACCTGCATCAACCAGTCACAAACAGCCATGCAATAACAATCAAGCAGGCACCACCCATGACCCAGAAGCAACCCTGCAAAATCTACAGAGCCTACCCTGCCCGAAAAGGAACATTGCAGTTTTGCACCAGCCAGTGCAACCAGAGTTTCACAGCATCTCCTGTATGATAGAATAACATTTGCAAAGTGATACTACCATAATAAACCAACACTTGCCATCTGTTCTAGGTAAAACCAGGAGAAATCAGCACACATAGCTTGTCTGAAATGCAAGGTGTTGTATATGCAAAGTGAAGATGGCAGAGTTAAAAATAAAAAAGAAGCTAAAAATTACTCATTTGAGTCGTCTTAGAAGCTGATATAAATAAGAACTGTAAGATAGTAAGAGGTTCAATAAAAAACAATGTGAAATACCTAAAACCTGTCCTTGTAAATGTTCAGCTGTCTCTTGGATAGACCTTTTTGATGCACGTTTTAATTTTGCAGTGAAGAGGAGCTCCAAGTCTAGGCTCCAGGGATCTCACATCACTTGATAGCAATGCAATATCTACATGTCACTTACGTTAACGTGTTTCTCCCTGTCTCTGAGGAAAGAGGCAATGTTCCATACAGATGCTGCTGCAAACATTACCTTGTGAACAAGACTGGAAAAGAGCCAGATGGGATGCAGACAAAAAAGTATCATCCAGGTTCTCTTATCTACTGCAAAGCCATCAAAACCAGACAGATTGCAAGATTCACTTACCCAGTGCTGTTCCAGTAGTTCTGACCAATGCTGCACTCCTTGGACAGTGAGGATGGGCTGAACCAGAAGGCTGGGATACACTGGTTGTTGCTGTGCCTTTCATATCCATAGTCACTATAAAGACAAGTCATGAGTGCATCACTGTACCCAACCACTAGATTCAGCTCAGAGTTTTAGTCCCCAAAGCATGTGTGTGCTGGTGGTTCTCTGCTGGATCTGACATCATGGATTGGGCTCAGCCAGAGACAATGTGCTGGACTAGTTTGAGCAGCAGGAGCACAGCAGGCATGTGATACCTGGAAACACCAGAACTACTAACCTTGCAGAGCACTGGAGGACTTGTGCTTCATTTGGCAACAAAACATGGACAGAGATTCAGAAGAAAATTGCACTGTTAATTTATTTTCCTATTAATCTCTAATTTAAATTTCACTTTTTGGGTTCTTTTGGTTTGCTTGCGTTTTGCAGTCTTTGCTTTTACAACAAACCAGATTAATTCTAAGATCTAATGCTACTTTTTCCCCAACAAAGCAGCTAAGAATATAAAACACTAGGAGCACTTTCTGAACATGTATATTTACATATGTTAATGGCCTCCCTGCTCTTGGACTGAGCTATGAAAAGAAAGAAAGAAAAATACAGTTGATGGTTTTCCAAAACTAAACTAAAACAACACAGCCAATTTGGTAGTCTAGGGATTACATGGTATTGTGTCACATAGGAAAAGCAATACAGGGTATTGATGCTTCCTTGGACCACCAAAGACTGGAAGTGTACACAACCACATCCAAAACTTCTTTTTACAGCTTCCTTTACATGCCAATACAATGATGAAGCAACAGGATTAATCCAAATCTTTCCATAAGTTGTAACAGGCTCTGGATCTGGTTTCTATGCATATTGGCAGGCTGGATTCAAAGGATGACTAAAAAGAGATTCTGGATTTTTGCCTGAAGCAAGTTAATAAATGCCAACAAACTAAACCTCTGTGGAAACACAGACACTACAGAAGTCACTGCCTTGAAAGCTCTCTGTGCCCTTTAGGACACTGTGAGTTTTATCCTTCCCCTTTTCAGAGTCTGAGCTGCCAACTTAAAGTCTCTAGGAAGAGCTTTGGTGCGACAAAATTGTGCTATGTCTCCAGTGACCCAGGCTTCTACTGTTCCTTTCTAGGAAGGAAAAAAATTCTGCAAGCTACTTTAAAAGGTTTGGAGATTCCCTAATG